TAACTGTTACTATTTGTCGAGAAGCGATTGATGACTTCAGACGATACAAAAGAGACAAGGAAGTCAATGCCCAAAAATATTACAGATTAGTGAAAGGTTTTGATATCCCTGAATTAGTACCAAGCTCTAAATTGCGAGTGGGTGATTTGGTAAGAAATTAAATGATTAGATAATGAAAATACAAGAAAAACACAAAATAGATAATTAAATGAAAAAAAAAATAGAAAAATTTATTTGTGTAATTTTTTTTTCCAAGGTTATAGTAGAAAAGGGCCAAAGGGTACCTGCTGATTTAGTATTATTACGAACTACAGAAAAATCAGGCGCATGCTTTGTGAGAACAGACCAACTGGATGGAGAAACAGACTGGAAGCTGCGACTGGCTGTTCCAGTTACTCAAAAATTGGAAAACAACTCTCAGTTGTTTGATATTAAAGCGAGCATATATGTTGAGAAGCCTCAAAAAGATATTCACAGCTTTATTGGAACATTTACCAGAGTAAATTTCCAAATATCTGACTTGTTTTTAATGTTTAATTTAATGTTACAACAGTGTAGTTATTAATAAATAATATTGTAACATACAATCACGTTACAATTTACAGTATGATGGATACAGCAGTGAAGAAAGTTTGGGTGTGGACAATACTTTATGGGCAAACACAGCAATCGCGTCAGGTTCAGCTCTTGGTGTTGTAGTGTACACAGGACAAGAAACTAGATCGCTTATGAATCATTCCGCACCGCGGTCGAAAGTTGGTTTATTAGATCAGGAAATAAATCAGCTAACAAAGGTATTGTATTCTGTCATATTGCATCATTTCATTTAATAAATGTCGTTGAATGAATTTTAAATTCGCAGGTTTTGTTTTGTGCTGTGATTGGTCTAGCATTGGTAATGATGTCTTTAAAAGGATTTAACGGGCCATGGTATCGTTATATGTTTCGTTTTGTTTTGCTATTTTCTTATATAATACCAATCAGTTTAAGAGTGAATCTAGATATGGGGAAAGCTTTTTACGCTTGGTGCATTCAAAGGGATAAAGAAATTGCAGGAACGGTTGTACGAACTACTACTATTCCGGAAGAACTTGGTCGTATTTCGTATTTATTAAGTGACAAGACTGGCACATTAACGCAAAATAAAATGGTTTTCAAAAAGTTGCATTTAGGCATGATATCTTATGGACAAGAAACATTTGACGAAATTATGGCTGTATTAAAAACGTGTTATGCCATAAATTCTGAAACTTCACCAGTAAAACCAGCGTCTGTACATAGTGTGAAAGTAAGAAGATCCGAAAGTACTAGAATATATGATGCAGTGCATGCTTTGGCATTGTGTCACAATGTAACACCAGTTTATGATGAAGTAAGTAAATCAAATAATTTGGATACAATGAGTGTACAAACAGGAGAAACAGGAGATTCTGGTTCCATTCAAAGGTAATTTCTTTTTTTTTTTCACTGTGCTACATAAAATTGTGCAATTATAACACGTGTTTATCTTTTAGTCAAACAGAAGCAGATCAACATTATTATCTATCAGAACAAAAACGTAATTACCAAGCTTCTAGTCCGGATGAAGTAGCATTGGTTAAATGGACAGAGGAAATGGGATTAGCTTTAGTGAAGCGTGATTTGAATTTTATGCAACTGAAAGCTCCAAACGGCAAAATCTTGAACTACACAATTTTACAAATATTTCCATTCACATCAGAAACCAAACGAATGGGAATAATAGTAAAAGAAGAATCCAGTTCTGAAATAGTATTTTATTTGAAAGGTGCAGATGTAGTAATGTCCGCAATAGTACAGTATAATGATTGGCTTGAAGAGGAGTGTGGTAATATGGCTCGAGAAGGTTTAAGAACATTAGTTGTTGCAAAAAAAAATTTGACAGAAGAACAATATCTCGATTTTGAAGCAAGGTATTAGGGAATTGTTACGTGTTAGTGGAAAAATGATTAGATATACAAATTAATTATATGAAAAAATTTTTCTTAGATATAATTCAGCGAGAATGAGTGTCAGTGATCGCGTTTCAAGAGTTGCTGCAGTTGTCGAAAGTTTAGAAAGAGAGATGGAACTATTATGTGTAACTGGTGTCGAAGATAGATTACAAGATAGAGTAAGGCCTACATTGGAACTGTTGAGAAATGCTGGAATTAAGGTACATCGCACTTTTTCCAGTTTACATTGCTACAAGATTAAATTTCTTTATTCGTTTTAATTTTAATAATAGTTTTGCCTATGATGTGTTTTTCTATGATGTTTAGATTTGGATGTTAACGGGCGACAAACTAGAAACGGCAACTTGTATAGCAAAATCTTCGCGTTTAGTTTCACGGACGCAGAGTCTTCATGTTTTCAAATCGGTAGTAACTCGCACGGATGCTCATTTGGAATTAAATACTTTTCGTAAAAAACAAGACTGTGCCTTAGTCATTAGCGGCGATTCTTTAGAGGTATGTTTGCAATATTACGAACAAGAATTCTTAGAACTCGCGTGCGGTTCACCAGCCGTTGTTTGCTGTCGATGTTCACCCACGCAAAAAGCCGAAGTTGTTAGTCTTATTCAAAGACACACTGGGAAAAGAACCGCAGCTGTTGGTGACGGGGGCAATGATGTATCAATGATACAAGCAGCAGATGCTGGTAAGCATGTTTTTTATATTTGAGTAAATTGTAGTGTAGATATTATTATTGATAATTCATTCCTCCTTTTAGGTATAGGTCTTGAAGGCCTTGAAGGAAGGCAAGCTTCTTTAGCTGCAGATTTTTCTATTTCTCAATTCAGTCATTTGGCTAATCTCTTGTTAGTTCACGGACGCAGAAGTTATAAACGTTCTGCTGCCTTAAGTCAATTCGTTATTCACCGAGGTTTAATTATTTCCACTATGCAAGCCGTGTTTTCTGCGGTCTTTTATTTATCGTCTGTATCCTTGTATCAGGGATTTTTAATGGTTGGGTAAGAAAAAATTAAGTAATATCAAAACACATATATAATATGATATAATGATGCTAATATGTCAAATGACTAATTTGTAGCTATGGAACAATATATACAATGTTTCCGGTATTTTCATTGGTATTAGACAAAGATGTGTCAGGAAAAATTGCACTTACTTATCCAGAACTTTATAAAGAACTCAGTAAAGGTCGATCGTTGTCCTATAAGACATTCTTCATGTGGATTTTAATAAGCATATATCAAGGTAATAAATTTTTTTGTTATTGATTATACGTCGTTCAGTAATATTATCTGAATTATCTTTCAGGTGGCGTTATAATGTATGGCGCACTTATAATGTTCGAAGATGAATTCATTCATATAGTGGCCATAAGTTTCACAGCGCTTGTCTTAACAGAATTAATAATGGTAGCTTTAACAATTAGAACATGGCATCATATTATGATACTTGCAGAAATTTTCTCATTGGCGCTTTATTTATTATCTCTAGTCGTTCTCAAAGATTATTTTGGTAGGTATAATTAATATATATTTTTAACAAACAAGGAATAAGTTTATTAAAAATTTAATCACTCGTTTCTTATTGTAACACAGATGCTGAGTTTATCAAGACCACTGACTTCTTGTGGAAAGTATTGCTAATAACTTTAATTTCATGCATGCCATTGTACATCTTGAAATTTTTACGAAAGAAATTTTCTCCTCCTAGTTACACTAAATTATCTTAAACTTCATGCATAACAGTTTCACTTTATGAAATAACTTATATAAAGAATTGACAAATTATTGATCTGTACTGAAAAGATGACATGAAAAACCGTTAGGTCTAAAATTATCACATCAATCCCTGATGTGCATTCTTTGCTGAGTGCGTTTGCATTTTATAAAACTCCTGAATATTTTTCTAACCATATTCGAAATATTGAAACCTTATAATTTGACATCAAAATGTAATTAACAAAAATTACAATTGTTTTTGTTCTAAATATATCATATTAAGTGCTTCTCTGTTAAACTATTATATAAGATAGGTCAGATTTAATGTTTCTTTAAATTCTAACTTAATGATAAATTCTATGAATAATTTATTATTATCATTATTACTATTAGTATTATGATTATGTTTATACGTGACATCATAATACATAAAGATTTCTATAATTTTTTACATTGCAAATTCAAACGAATTGAAATTATAACTAAAAAAGTTTAAAGCTGCATTTTGTTCATGTTTATTTATTTTATGATAAACCGTAAAGTATTTTCGTTCTTGAAATATATTTGCGTAATAAGTAGCATTTTATTTGTTTCTGTCTCTTGTCTATATTCGATCGCGTACTATTTATAGCATTTTAATATATTAAGTTTATAGGACAAATAATCAATTAATTAAAAGCATATAATGTCTTTAAAGTTTTCTTCATGTATTTAATAAACATGTTAAGTTCTTATTTTTACAAACTAAATGCCAAGAGGAAGATTCCTATTTGTTATTGCTTTAGTTTAATATAGGATATTTTTCTTTTATATTTTAGATAAAATTTATTATTTACAATTTTAATATAATGTGATGTAACTTAATTATCGTGTATGTACAATGCTACAATAAAAAAATCGATTTTTATATTCATGCATAAATTAAGATCGTAGATTTAGAAGTAATTGTTATTAGTTACAACGTTGAGATGTATCATATTATATATAGAATATATAGTTACTTTTAGGTAAATAGCACTTGACCTAATGATATACATTTATAATTAATTTATGTGAAAAAAATATAATAATAATATATTCATTTAAACATTATGCCACTTTTCTTTTAATCCTGAATTCTTAGATTATAGCTATTTATGGTTTATAGAAAATTTAAATACGTATTTATGGATTTATAAAAAATTTAAATATGGATTTATGTACCTAGAAATTTAAATACCTAGAAATGTGTAAAATGTTAATAATTTTACTCGTAAAATTAAATTGCATAAATAGCCATAATTTAAAAACATAATAAATATACAAAATAATATATAAAATAATATACAAAATAATTTATTTCTAAAAATTTTTAAATTTTATTTAATAAATTAAATTTTCATTCCTCTGATTGTAACATGTAATTTCTCATTTGCGAGTTTTGCTATTTGATTGTGGATGTTATTTACCTCTCGTTTTGATAATGTACGTTCCATATGTCTATATACTATGGTATAACAGTGTGATATCTTTTTAGTTTCAGGGTCAGTGTATTCATCTTTTAATAGAACTTGTTCTATTCTATCTTCGCCAATATCTCTAATTAAATCGTAAAAATCGTTTGACGAATAACTTTTATTTTCAGGCAACCAGAAACTTATATCGTTTTTACACTGAGGATAAACACTAATTGGCTGTAATACAGAAGTCTAATTTAAAACTATTTTTTTAACATAGTATTCGTTAGTTTACTAATTTCTTTACCTTGTATTTTATTGCTGCATTAGGATCTTCAACTTTGAATTGATTTAAGAAACCAGTATCATTACTCCAAAATAAACGAATATTTGCGATACCATATAAACACATAGCCAGTCTTTCCAAACCTAATCCGAATGCCCATCCAATGCGTTCTCCTGCACCCGATTTTTGTAAAATCTCCTGACGCATAATACCACATCCCAATATTTCGATCCATTGATCATTATAGTAGATTTCTAGTTCCCATGAGGGATGAGTGAAAGGAAAATATTGTTGAACCCATCTGTATTGAATTTCTACAATTAAAATTTTACACTTTTATTTTATGATATAATGACAAAGTGTTTTTTCTTTCTTTTTCTTAAAGTTACCTGATCCGAAAAGTGTCTGTGCTAAACCTACTAAAGTATTTTTCAATTCATGTTCCATTATTTTTACAGATTCTAAAGCATGGCAACCTTGCTTCTCATCAGTTTCCATGCCCCTATGTTCAAATAGCTTCAACTCATTAGAATTGTCTACATTTTGGAATACTTCCTCTGCTGTACATAGTCTAACAGCATCTGCTTGATGAAAAACAGGATAGTGGGTAGAATCTATTTCATCTTTGCGATAAACATCTCCTACCACAAGGAAATTGTTCAAACCCATTGAAATCAATTCTGATTGATGAGCTGTTGTATGGGCTCTTAATATTGTATTTTGATTTATATAATAACAATCGCTTTTCTTCCTAGATGGATGATTTTCTGGTACAAGTAGGGAATCAAAATTTTGAGCTACTGTAACAATAGGAGATATGTTATCAAACACGCTGAATATGGGATTTCCAATACGATTGTGAAATTGCATGTAAATATAGTTAACGATACGTTGACGAACATGAGATAAAGGATGATATGGAGAAATATGTAAATTTTTTCCTATTTTGGAAATAATATTTTCACTAATATTCGTCCAGTTATCTCTTGGAAACGTGTGATCTAATAGTGTTATTTCATTGTTTTTTACAGTCTGTGTAGCTATAGAAAATGCCCTTCTGAATATTCTTTTACTACAGCATCCAATATATGTATACATTCTGCAAGTGCAAAAGTCACATTTTACTTATTACTTTTGACTCAATACATTTGAATACTTGAAAAATATGATACATTTGCAGTAACCAATCTAAGCGTTGTAAATAACCAATCTAAGCTGATAACCAATCTAAACTAATTAAATTTTCAATACTTTATTTTTTTTTTGTTTTTTAGGATTGCATAATTTTTTAATACAATAATAAGTACATACATACTTATAAGAGAGCTTCTTCTTTTAAACTTAACCATACACGTACTATGATATATATTATGTACATATACTACACACAAACAAACTACTACATACACAAAGGATGTTCTACGAAGCGGTATAAAAGTGATCTAGGCACCACTCTCTCGTTCATTGTCATTACACGTTTTATAATTCTATCTGAATATATATTTTCAACCAATATACATGCTTGCCTTTGATTATATTAAATCTACTAAAAATAACCAATCAGATCGTATTCATTTCATTGCTCTATTAATTGCTATACAATTTAAGGAAAATTTACAATATCGACAATTGCCAGAAATATAAAGAGAAAAGTAATGAAAAAAATTCATTTGAAAAATCAACATGTAAGTTATAATTTAATATAAAGTGAAGAAATTCAATTTAGTATTCGTACGACATCTATATTGGTGTACTTGATCTATGATGTATTATAAATGATGGCTAGTAATCGAAGAGTAATTTTAAGTCTTTATCGAAATCTAATTCGGGAAAGCAAAAAATGGAATTCGTACAATTATCGGTAAGTGTAAAATATTCAGTTAATAATTATTAACTATAGTCTTACGGTTTGACACATTACTCATTTATTACACTTTCTTGGCGTATTTCCGATTGAAATTAATTCGATTGTAATTATTCAAAGTCGCTAATAAAATAAAAGAATATTATTTTGACAAATGTTATTACAGACATTTAAATTATAAATTACATTCTTATTTGTTTTGTAATTGATCTTATGTTTGTATGGATGTATGCTTTACGTAATTGATCTTATGTTTATTGTAGGATGTATGCTTTACGTAAAATTCAACATGAATTTAAACAAAACAAAACAATACAGGACATAAAGAAGATTAACGAATGTTATGCTAAAGGACAAGAGAACCTTGAAATTATTAAAAGACAAGCAACAATAGGAAATCTTTATAGTATTAGACCGTTAATTATTGAAAACAAAGCTGATTCAAATTGAGAATAAAAATTAGCATCAATCTTGGGATGTACCAGTACGTTCACAGTAAACAGAAGAAACAACAATGCTTTAAAACTTAAATGATCAGAAATTAAGCAATGTAATGAGTAGAAATTAAGCAATATAACCATAACTGTACATTAACTATGTTACATTAAATATAGTCTACAGTTAAGATATATGTATCAGTGTTATAAATATATTAACCTATGTACAATGATGAGTAGTTTAAAAAGTTTCATTAAGACAATTTAATAAAAAAGTGTATATCATTCTAAGTACAAAGTATCATTTTTATTGTCAGCTACAAATAATTGCATGTATATGACAGAAATGTATATGAAACCGTGTTATATTTCCAAGATCAATTTAATTAAGATTAACTTAAGTTTGAAGGAATGTTGCATGAATCGATCGACGTTTCATAATAAAATATGCACGCGTGTATGTACGGTACATCGAATAATATTTCGCACGAATTTTTTTAAAATTTTGAATAAATATCCTAGACATGTTGTATATATGGAATGCAGAAAAATATGTGCTGTAAATCATGTATTTAATAATTTTAGTTGATCAATTATTTCAACTGTTTCACGATGACAGATGGAGCGTATCGAGAAGTTATAATTGCTCTACGTAAAAAGGAGTGCGACAAGCAGTGAAGTGTTACAGGATAATTGGCGAATTACTGAACAAATTGACCAAAATGGCTATGCGAAACTTAACAGAACCGTTCATCTTAATGCGAAATAATGCTTTACAAAGCAAACATATATACGCTGAACAAGTATGTTACACATAACCTATACTTTAAGAATAATCAGCAACGTTCATCTTGCTAATGAGGAATAGATTAAATAATGACGTACAACATTTTAGAATTTGTCCGACCGAACGGCATTAGTGGCTTCGGGTTCTGGTGCTTCAGACAACGTCGAATTGAAAAATGTTAATTTGGAAAGTAACGCACCGCCTGTGTGGACAGATGCCTTGGAGGAAACACAATATATTTTAAGTAGATTACGCGTCAAAATAGACAGCTTAGTAGAGTTACATGCTAAACAATTAACTAGGCCAACATTAGACGACACGTCACAGGTTTGTCGTTAATCTCAAGATATGATCATTATGTGAAAACTAAGTTATTAGTCGTACATCGATGCAAGAAGATGAAACATTGCTTCTGATTTATTTTGATTACTTAATTGTTAGAGAGCAAATCGTTAAAAACATGTCTGCAGGAAGAGAGACAAATGGAACAACTGACACGAGAAATAGGACGTGCATTTTCTAGTGGTTATCATCAAGTACAAACAATAAAAACTGCAACAAGGCATGCTAATGGATCGACGGAACGTCGATTAGCTATAAGCGCGGTAATGGCACTTTCAACAGCTTTGCAAGAGCTGGGTCTTCGATACAGATCAGCTCAGAATCACTATTTAACACGTATGATTTATAGACATGTATAGTTTTCATATAAATTGGATACACAAGACATGAGATGTTTAACTCTGTTTAATTATTTTAGAGGTGAAATCAAGGGAAGAAAGAAGTAATCAATTTTTTACGGAAGATCAATCAATATTTTTAAATAACACCATAACAGATACATGGCTGTTAGAGTCGAATGAAACAAATTCAGATTCTTGGAATAATAGTCAACAACAACAACAGCAGGATTCTGTACTTTTACAATTGGAAGATTCGGATGACAGAATAAAATTAGCTGTTGAAAGAGAAGAACAGATTGGCAACATAGTTCAAAGTATAGCAGAGCTCAGGCATATATTCAAAGTAAGAAGATTTGAAGATTGAACGAACTTACAACTTGTATTAAAATTACTATATTCAGTAATAAGTAAAAAATGTTCTTTATTTCTATAGGATTTAGCGAGTATGGTACAGGATCAAGGCACTATCTTGGATAGAATTGATTATACTGTCGAACAAACACAGATACAAGTACAGGAAGGTTATAAACAATTGAAAAAGGCAGACTCTTATCAAAGAGCCAACAAAAAATTGTATTGTATAGTTGTGCTTGCAAGCGCTATTATTCTAGTCAGTTTTCTTTTTATCGTATTTAAAACATGAAACAGAATTTCTATTTTAATTTGCACGATTGAATTTTAATATATGATGAATTTGTTTTGGATTACAGTTTTGTAAGGAATAAAAAAAAGAACATGTGTAGATAATATATAATTTGCGCGGAAAATATTTTTCGATAAAATATCTGAAAATTTGAAATTTTAGGTAAACAGCGAAATGGAATATAATTAAGCAAGTACATATTATTTTCGTGAGTTCATCAATTACTCTTCTCCTATTTCATGTTCGAAATCATTCCATAGTACTGAATTATTTGTGATATCATTTATTGCATACATCATTACATGTGACGGATGTTAAAATTCATGTATAATATAAATGTAAGTATTAATAATCATCGATAATTTGCATTTCCAATTTAGAGTAATAATAATATATATTTACGTTGAAAATACAGTTGTAAATTTTTTATAAGAGAAACAGCATTGAAAGAAATAGAAATCAAATGTGTTCACAAATAAAATGGACCGTATAAAGATATTGAAAATATCAATCGCCAAATTATCGCCTTTCGATTAATTTTCTGTTTTACTAGTCTAGTATGGCCTGATAAAAATATCAAAGACAAACTTTTTTATTCTGCTGTATGTAATATACATTGCATAGTTAGGTTTTTTCCTTTTTTAAATAAACAAATTCATCGAATACATGTAATTATGATGTCATCTAAGATTGACTTAAATGTTATATAAATAAATATCTTTTAAAATAGTTTATATAGTAGACATCAAGATAAATAATAACATATTAGTTAACAATATTGAATTTTTATTCTTAAGAACACTAAATAAAGTTTCCTTGAATATTGCACCTTTTTTATCACAGACTGAGCGGTACATATATTTTATATATATATATATATACGTCATTTATCTAATTGCAATTTCTAGTGCATATATATAGAATCTTTAAAAAAATATTACCATTACGAGAATTTGAACAATTTTCTCGTACATCTGCGCACAACAACGTGCTTATAAAGGTAATTATACAAGTTGTAGTATCACATACCTTTTGTTTATGTTACATGGTATGTGCGTACTCGTGAATATATGCGTGTGTTACATAAACTCCGAGTGTGATGTAATTATTTATTCAATTTTACAAAAATCTTACGTTCTACAAATTAGAAACGATTCGTTAATCAACGAAGGATATAAATTGATAAAATACGTGTACTTGTAACATTTATTAAATTGATAAAATTGAATCTATGGCATACCTATGAAAAAGTAACGTAACGTTTAATATGTGATTCAAAATATAGCAGGATATTGTAATAAAAACTTTTATTCTAATAAATGGAATGCACTAAATGCTGTTGTTAAAATCGTATGAATTTTATTGTTATCTGTATGATCGGATTCTCCTCGGCTCATGATAAAGATTTTTATACATTTTGGTATGTTTTCTTATAGGTTTAGTTAAAACGTGTATTTTTGTAAATTAAAAGGCAAACGATGAATAATTCAAGTATATCATTTACGTGTAAAAAAGTTTTGGTTTACTCTGTTTTCATACATTTGCTGGATGGAGAAAATGTCTCTAGATAAATGAAGTACGTAAGATAAACAGCTCGCGCAATTCGTTTACTATTTCGCGATGATTCAGAATCGATTGAACACAGATTTAAAGAAGTTTGATTATACACTACTCAAGTGAGAGAAGGAGACGAAGTATTCAAAATGTGAACTAAAATTGCAAACGCTCCACCAAGTATATAACGTACGAAATTGTCACCAACTAAAGGACCTAAGGCATAAAGTCCGGGTCTCGGAGATTTGGTTACTTCATAAGTAAAATCGTCCACCTCGATAGGATTCGATTTACCGTCTATGGGTTTGTCGGGATATTTACCAAGCCCGATATCAGTTTTCAGATAAGACAGATCAGGCTTGTAACCTGCGAACGAAATTTTTTTTAATTTAAAATTTTTGGGAAATAACGAAATTAGAGCATTCATTTTCAATTTGATACGTACCGATAAGGATGGCTACGGCAGAAACACGAAACGTGTGCACACATCCGTCCGGATCGGCAAGAGTAATCATTGACGGTCTTTCAAATACGGCATCAATGAAATCAATCCCATTTGCGGTAAATCCGAGCAACGTGTATCCTGGTAATGCTTTATACAAGGGATAATTGGTACCACCATCGGCCATCATCTCGTATACCTTGTGATATTCGGGATACATTGAACTGGGTAAACCTTGTAATTTATCGTAAATAGTACGTATCCTCTCATTTGATTTGTTCCACTCGTTGGACGAGTCACGGAATACATGTAAAACGGGAATGCCGCGGAAACGGGCGGCCATAATGGCATCGGCAGCGCTTAGTCCGGAACCAATCACTAGTACCGGATCGATTGGTTGCCATCGTTCTTCTATCTCGTTTGCTAAAATCATATGCATCGTTCGAATTATATTTAAATAACGATTCATCGTATATTATAATTTTCATCGTAATCTAATTTTAAGCAATTTTATTAAGTCTTAAACTATTTGAAAATAAAAATGGATGGAGCATTTCATGTACCATGTTGCTGATGATCAATCAAACGATCCAATTTCGATTCCAGTTCATTTAAATCGTGCGTTATCCAATCGAGTTGGAAATCTTCACCGGGTATACCCAACTGATTTGACAGATCGGTCGTGCCTGTAGCAAGAACGACTCGTCTACATCGATAACGAAAGGGTTTCCCAGTCTGTTTCTCGAAACCATCGACTATCCATTCGTAACCATCTTCTTGCTGTTGCTGTTGCTGTGGAGAACACGCATCCGAATCGCGGCTCGGTCTCACCGAAGTAACTATAGTCCCGCTGGAAAACAAGCGTCTCTGTAATTAACGATTACAAGAGAGATATTACACGACCTGCAAGCATCTACAATTCAACTAATGTGCGAACTAACCATCGGAAGTATTGCTCCAATCTCTTTCTGCGTACGTAATCGTCGTAATAGGCAGCCACTGTACCAACAGAGATTCTGCTAGCCGTTTTACACGCACTTGGTTTCTCTTGAAACCCATACATCGGCTCATCCTCCATAGAAGTTGTTTCCAGAAGTTGCTCGGACTCGATCATTATCTCCCATTGCCTTATATCTAAATCAGGCAACGACATCCATCGATTCAAACTGATGGTCAACACGTTTGGATCCATTGACTGAAACGTAATTAACACGCGTGACAATAAATGTTCATGACTATCAAACGATACTTTATTCTATTAAAACATCCAATAAATTCTACATGATCAGTTTGACCTTTCCGAAAGTTGAATTGCAGAAAACATATAGAGAGAAACAATGAAGAGATCAAGAAAGAAATCGATAATAGTTTCTCATAATTTAAAGCAGCGTGCATTATCAACATAGCGGTCAGTTTCTGCGAACCACTTTCCAACCACAAAACGGTGGTCGCGTGCGACTTGGCTGTAAGTGGAACCAACCACTTAGCGGGTCATTTTTTTAGTTTAGTCCCTGACAAGAGTCACAAGCTTAAAATCAAAATGTATTTCAAAGAGGAAACAATCTTATTGCTTTTATTATGCATTTAGTACGTTGAAAAAGGTTGTAGAAAGAGTTGTAGAAACAGAATTCATTTGATTTATTACCATTTGTTTCCACATGTGGATTCATACCCGACACTAGCTTTATGATTATTGGAAAGTTGTTCTTAAGCTTAACCGCTGACCTGCTACCTGACTCGTATTCATTACCTGCCACGAACCACCAGGTTGACCTTTGCCGAGCACAACATGATCGATCACTTTGTGCTCAGGATGTTGGTCGACCGATTTCCAGGTAAGAAGAGACGGCACATCGAGGCCAGCGTCAACACAAGGATGTTGAAGCTGGTCCATCAGAAGAGCCAATGGTCGACCGCCGATTCTACCTTCCAATCCGGAAGAGAGGCATTCCAATTTGCAACGCGTACTGCTTGCCAATCCCCTTCCTTCGCTTCTCCCCTGACATTTTCTCGACCTGACAGTCTCATTCTCGTGCCAGCGATAGCACCTCGTTTCATTTCCTAATTGTTGTTGTTGTTGTTGTTGTTGCTGTTGCTGTTGCTGGCTCATTGTATTGCAACATTCCTCTTCGTCACTCCCGGACCTGATGCTCGAGTGCAACCTAGCCGTGAGCATTTCGTCCGCGGGATGTGGTTCGCCGGTGTAATAAGGCCAATTTCCAGCGAGCATAAAAGAAAGGCATATTCCACTAGGCCCGTTTCCTGAACAAAACATATATACCATCATCTTGTTTACAGGATTACTGACAATACTGTTCTTATTTTTTCACTACTTCCGCGCTTGTTACCATATGAGAAACCGTTTTATCGTGCATTTCCACCGATCACACGAATCGTAGCACTTCGCTTCAATGTATTGATCATCATATGCAGAATTTTCCTATCACGGAAACGATTATACGATTAAAAATTGAATTACACTAGGAGCCAAAAGATCTACTCTTCGTCACCGAGCTCCCCTATGTTTTAGAATTTTAAACGGAAAAAGGAATGCACATACAGCGACACGAGTTAAATTCAGGAAATTACGACTTTAGTAGATAAGTTTCACATTGATGAACGAATCGTACCTATGATGACCACATCCTTGTAGGCGACGTTGTTATCGCCGTCGTCGCAACAATTTTGCATCGTTGCTCCGTTATTCTCGTTTATTTGGTCAATCGTCCTAGTTCTGTAACAGACAAACATAATGTTCTATAAATATTCCCACGTGTATATTCATTGAGAAAACGAACGAGCTGTTCCTTTAATTTGCAGATGAGGAACAATCGTTGAATCATTGAGAAGTGAGAATGCATGTAAATGTTAAAAATGAAAGACAAAAAGAAAAGAAAAAAAAAAAAAAA